AATTAGAGCTTAGGAAGTACCACAATTCGCTACATGACTTGCGCCTACTGAGCGACTAACCCAAGGCTCGAAAAATGATATTTGGAGAAATAGCACAAGTACTCATTGATTCTTAAGTGCTGCTCTCACCCGCTGTTCGCTTTGTGAAAGCCTGAATTGAAATTAAGCGAAAGGTGCGGGTTAGAGTGCAGCGGCAAAAGCTTCGATCATAACCCGGCATTTTCGTAAAGCACAAGTAGTCAGAGTCGTACCATACAAGCACAATCCCCAGTCTTACCGCTAGAACAAATAACCCAACTGTGTGACAAACATTGCCTATCATAGAGCCTGTACTGGTGCGAAGTGAGCTAACAGTAAGAAAAAGGAAAAGAATCCGTCAAAAACGCTTAGGTTAAGGGCTCACTCACCTTCTAATCGGCTGTGCTAAGGGAATGAGAGACTAAGCGCGGAGAGGAGAGTATGAGGCGAGAGAGCGCACAGATGAGAGGGCGCCAGACAACAGCCTGATAAAAGAAAAAATCTGCAGCTGCAGCAGCTTACTTTGCAAGGCTCTAACGCATCTGAATGGCAGGTGAATTCGTCCAAAGGAATACCACATCTGTAGTTTATATATCTGCATTTCGAAGGGACTCGTTCACACGATTTGTGCCGCCTTCTAGCCACATGGTTTTATGACCAGTAGGTCTTGTCACCCTAATTTTGCCTAACCTGTAGTAATTCAAGAAGCTTGCTGGATTGGGCAGGTAGCAGGGAACCATGGGTTAAAGTTGGCTCACAGTATTGCAAACTAAGCACAATATTGATTAAGCTGGTCCCTCCGCGCACTTAGGAGACGGATCTGAATCGCCGACAACCACTGCATTTGATAAGAAGCGGGCTTGTATTTATGCAAAATGCCATAGAAAACGGAACGTATCAGGAGTGTCTAAAGAGGGTTTGTATGTCTTATTTCACCCAGCTCAGTATATTTCCGTGAACCACAATCCACAATCTCCAGTTTTCTGCTACCTTTTCATATGGTCTACCTTCTTCCATTAACGTCTCACTCTCCATCACTGATCATGTGGTACAAATACAACCTGTCAATAATACGATTTTCGCCGCCTTGAAGACGTTTCGCGAACTCATGTGAAGAAATTTGCGGTAGGATGACTCCAAACAAAAACATCGTGGACATGAGCGTATTGGGGAACAGATGCATGGTAGAGTGTTCAAGATTTCTTATACTTGATTTCTGACTACCAATTATAACACAATTGGCTAACTTTAATGGTAGGACGTCGCTGCTGTAGTCCAGCACATTCATTGTTATTTTGCCTTGTTTGACTTTAAAATATAGTGTTCAGGAATCTACAGTAAGTCCGATTTTACCTTCTCAATCTTCAATCCCCACTGACCCACAGTACGCGACACCTATCACAAGCTCTGATCCAACGCCTATCACTATCACAGGTATTGTATGCTAATATACAGTTTGATTTTCTATCAGGATAGCCATACTTTCAGAACTGCAAACGGATCCAAATTCGCTTCCATTCGGAGCAACTGTTAAGCACTTACCACTCGAGCAGCGAAAGGTAGCTTATTCCAGTGTTTGAGGTTGTCAAATTCGGAGAGCGCACTTTGTATCTGTAGTCCGCGATAGTGCTTGGCAGCATTCCACTCGTCCGATGTGGGATGCTGAATCACCTGTATCACCTGTCGTCCCGTTGATCATCGAATTGCTCGAGCGGGCGCCAGCAACGTCTCCATTCGTCCCTGTCGCGTGCAAGAGTTGTCCAGTGGATCCTCCTCGCTCGAGGGACACGAAGTCCTTCATTCCTTTCGTTCAGAGCTTTCGTGAAGAAGTCTGACCATCGGGCCGGCGGTCGTCCAGGTGTTCGTTTGACGTCCCGAGGGATCCAGTCGGTAACCGCTCTGGTCCAACGGTCATCGCAAAATCGCATGTTATGCATACATTATGTGCATGTAACATACGGTCCATCCGAAGTCTTACTATAACTGTGCTTGTTGTTGGCTGATCCAGTGGATCTGGTAAAGGTACGGTGTTCTTCTCCCCTGTGATTACGTGATGGTTAGGATGGTGTCGAAGATCTAGTAGGTGGTGGGAAATTTTGGTATATCATAAATCTAAATTTCCTTCCTTTTTTTTTTTTTTCTTTTTTTTTTTTTTTTTTTTTTTTTTTTTTTTTTTTTTTTTTTTTTTTTTTTTTTTTTTTTTTTTTTTTTTTTTTTTTTTTTTTTTTTTTTTTTTTTTTTTTTTTTTTTTTTTTTTTTTTTTTTTTTTTTTTTGGTTGGGGGGTGGGGGGGGGGGGGGGGGGGGGCGAACCACGAAGTCGCCGAACGTTGGCCAATAAATTGCCAATATAACTTCGTGTGCAGTTCAACAAAGTTACACCATAAAATCGCATGACGTGTCCGGCCCACCTTATCTTCGATTCCTTGGCGAAAACGGCAGCGTCCCTGATCTTCGATCGTTGGCGTAGTTCGGAACTCCGGATTCCCCTCTGCACTTGCGTGTATAGGGCATCGTCCTCTCGACAGCGCGTTGGATAACGCTGACCGCATGCTCGTCCTGCCTGCGCAGAGTCCAAGTCTCTGAGGCGTAGGTTAGGGCAGGAAGGACAGCGGAATCGAAGAGGTGGGCACGGAGCCGGATGTTCTTCGTCTTCTTCACTACTCCCTCGATGTTCTTGTACGCTCCCCAGCCGCTCGTTTCCTCCTGCTCAGCTCTGGAGCTAGATCGTTCATCATATTGATTTCCCGACCTAGGTAGCTGGAGCATTCGGTGATGTTCGTTCCGTTGAGCGTGAATGGGGCATCAGGAACCAATCCGTTTCTCATAAACATCGTCTTCGTTAGGTTCAGCTGTAGACCGACCTTACCACAGGCGCAGTCGAAATCAGCCAGCATTCGCTCCGCTTGCTCGATGTTCGGCGTTATAAGAACGATGTCGTCAGCAAAACGAAGGTGGTGTAGTTGCCGGCCGTCGACCTTCACTCCCATGTCTTCCCATTCCAGTTGACGCATGACGTTCTCGAGAGCGGCGCTGAAGAGTTTGGGCGAGATGGTGTCGCCCTGTCGACCCCTCTGATGACCTCCTTGTAGAATGGTGAGATTCTGGTCGTAAAGTTGCTGTAGAGCTCACGAAGAATCTTGATGTACTGAGTAGGGACGCCCTGGTTGCCCAAGGCTTCGATGACCGCTTCTGTCTCCACAGAGTCGAAGGCCTTCTTCAAGTCGATGAACGTGAGACAAAGCGGCATCTTGTACTCTCGTGAAACTTCAATGAGTCTTGTAACCGGATATGGTCGATCGTGAACCCTCTTCGAAACCCTGCTTGCTCGCATGGCTGTCCTTCATCTAGTATTCTGCCGATCCTGAGGATGACTCGAGTGAATAGCTTGTAGATTACAGACAGCAGGCAGATTGGGCGATAGTTGCCAATGTCGTCCAAGTCTCCCTTCTTGTACAGCAACACGGTCCTGCTGGTTTTCCACGGAGTGGGTACCTTGCATTCCGACAGGTAGCGCGTGAAGAGTCGAGCCAGAGTTTTGATGATAACTGGCGGTGCATTCTTCAGATGTTCCGGTTTGACCCTGTCGAGACCGGATGCTGTACGATACCGACTTGATGGCGTGCCGGA